TTCTGAAACATAATTCTTAGCCTCCAAAGCTTGAGTCTTAGCTTTTATTAAATTTGTATCCAGGTTTCTAACATGCTATAGGCATGTCAAATCCAAGTGTTCAATGCCTCCATGGCTACAGCTTCACCCAAGAGGGCGCTCACTTATGGAAAACTGGATCCCTGACTACACAGCAGAAAAGAACCCTTGATGAGTCGGTTAAGTTTATTATGGATTTTGACAGAGAGTCGAGACAGGGTAGCTCGTGCCCCTTAAGACTTGGGATGGATTCCAGAGAGCTGCCCTAAAATCTGACATCGCTTTACAGCTGTGTATGATCCTGTGGCTGCTACATCACTCAGATGGTGTATTTATAGCAATGTGTCATGATTAAGATTAGAAAATTAAAAATATGAGCTACTTTGCTGATTGTTCAAGAATCACCTCAGTAAATGAGACTGTAAAGCACTTTTATGGGGTGTATTATTAGACTCAGGGCTGGGAGGAGAGCAAGCAGGATAGTGAAGCCAAGGCTATAAACATTCCAGTCCAAAGCATGCAGTCAGTGTGGTCCTTAACACTCTGAGCTATCTGGGAAAAGTTTCAGCTTTATCAGCTGCTTTGCAGTTTCCCAGCAGGAAGGTAAGGAGTCCTGGGGGAGGGAGGAACTCGGTTTCCTTGACTTTCCTTTAGATTTGGAAAATAACTAACATGAAGGTTCTTAAGGTAGCAAAAATCTGAATAAAAAGCCAGTTTGATTTTTTTTTTAACTAAAACTGTTAATAAAAGATTTGAGACAATAAGAGCTCTCTTGAGGGTTTAACACAATGGTGTCCTTGTTAACACTATGGAGTGGCTGAATTAGAAGGGCTTTAACAGTGACCCTTTCAGAGTGACTTTTGTGGAGAGTTACATCAGCAGATACTGATTTGCATTCCTTGCTTTCTGGCTTCCTCCAGTGACACCACTCATTGGAATTGGGCCAGTTTCCACTGTTTGGTTAGTTTTTTTTTTTTTTTTTGGGGGGGGGGGGGGGGGGGGGGGGGGGGTGGGGGATAGGTGTTGGAGGTCTCTGCAAACCCGAAGCCAGCAGAATGTTGATCCAGGGGAGGCAAGAAGGAAATCAGGTCCAACATGATTCAGGAGCACTGGCCTGACACTGGGTAGTTTACTTTAGGTGTATTTAAGCACAGTACCGTTTGGGGAAAGTTTCCTAGTGATAGTGAACTCAATCCCATGTGCACAGCAAAGCTTAAGACATGACCACATCAAACTCTTGTAGAGTACAAGTGACATCCTCCATAAAGATAGGTCTACAGATTAAGGAAGCAGGCCCAAGGTCCACAATGCTGTGAGAAGGGTCTGGAAAGAATAGTGCTGTAGATTGGCTAGATAAACAGGGTAAAGACAAGGGTCTGGGGGAGCCAGGTGTGGCCTGGCCATAGACAGCACTGGAAAAACAGGTTATACACCTTTCCCTTTGAAGAGCCAAATTTAACAATCCTTGTTTCCCTAGTGCTTATCTGAGAGCACAAGGACCTCCATGGACAGATGGGTATGTGCAAGTGTGTAGTGCCCATGGAGGCCAGGAGAGGATGCTGGATCCCTCGAAGCTGGAGTTAAAGTTAACTGTGCACATGCTCACAAATACCTGACAAAGAGCAACTTAAAGACAGATTTGGCTCCCAGTGGGAGGGTATACAGCCCACTCTGCAGGCAAGCATGGAAGCAGGGGCATGAGGCTGTGGTCACACTGCATCCTTAGGAAGCAGAGTGGGCTGGAATGCTGCCGGGCTCTAAAAAGCTGTGGGCCCAGTGAAGCGAGGCTCTACCTCCTGAAGTCTCATAACCTTCCCCAATGCTACCATCAGCTGGGGACCAAGTGCTGGGAAGCATGAGCCCAGAAGGATATCCCTAAAAATCATTACTTGCAGGGCTTTTTCCATGGTCATGTGCCCCAGATACACATTCCCTACTGAGGTCAGAAATCAAGTCTCCGCTGCCCACTTCAACTTCACACTGTAACCAAGTGTTTTGTTTCTATCATGGCATCATTTGGTGTTTTGGCCCCAAGCACAGTGCTGAGTGCAATATAGTGTTGCTAAGCAAAGGCCAATATAAAGTGCCTTACATTAAAAAAAAAAAAAAAAAAAAAAGTGTCCCACCTGGCAATGGTGGTGCATGCCTTTAATCCCAGCACTCAGGAGGCATAGGCAGGTGGGTCTCCGTGAGTTCCAGTCCAGCCTGGTGTACAGAGCTAGTTCCAGCACAGCTAGGGCTGTTACACAAACAAACAAACAACAAAAAACTGGTGTCCCAGAAGTTTTGTTCTGGTCTGAGTCGAAAGCTTGATGTAAACTGCATGAGGCTTTATTGTTGTTTAACGAGCTAACCCCATGTTAGCTCGGGTCTTTCATTAACCCACCATGGTGGATGACTAGGAAAGACACTGTGAAGCCACTGCATAGAGATCTTATAGGGCATCGTAAGGGGAATGTCTGGGGGTACGCACAGGCTCAGGATTGGTGTGGCTCCAGGCTTGGAGGGTTTGCCCTGTGTTGATTGGTCAACTGGTTGTTATGGCCCATAGGCCCTCCCAGGGTGGTTGCTATGTTCTGCGTGTCATTGCTGTGCGCTTGTCTGTAAAGCACACCCAGAGCCGTAAAGCATAGCGCCACCAGCTAACTTCTGATTGGTTCCTTGCCACAAGGCAGGCACCTAACCTCTAGTGACCAAGGCAAGGTCAGAAAAGCATGTGTTACTGTCATGGCTGCCGAAAGGGGCAGGCATCTGACCTTAGTGACCAAGACAAGGTCAGGCAAGTGCGTGTTCAGCTGTTATGGCTGCCGAAATGGGGAGCTGGTCCCTTCAGTTGCAGTACGGCTGGCCACTGAGTTCCATGTTAACACAGAATCAATACTGAGAATGAATAAGGCACAAACCAGCACAGCCATGAATTTTCTCTAAACCATTGATGAAGAAGTATCTTTCTAATGAGTTGATGGATCTTGACTGTAATTAAAACTGTAATTAATCAATGGAACGTATTTCCCATACCACTGACGGACCGTATCATTACCTTGTGTGAAAGTTCCTCGTGAAGCTCAAGGCTTTCATTTTACCATCTTATCTCAGGCTCACTCCCAAGTGCTTGGTACTTACCGGTAAAAGCTGTGAGTGGAAAGTAACAAGACCGGGCTGAGCAAGTAACCCTATACAGAAACACCCAACCCCATAGCAATCATAGAAATGTAAACAAAACCAAGGCTGGTTCCCTCTGATGACCCCAAGACTACCTAGTGCTGGCAAGAATTAGTAGACGATGATGGTGCTTGTTATCTATCTGCATGCCTTTCAACACCTGTATCCTTAGACCACAAGGCACCAACCTTCACACAGTTCCCTCCAAATAAAACTTCAATCTGTGCAAAATCTGCCAAGGATAACTGTGGCAGCCATTATTAACTGCAGCAAAAGTACATAAATCAAGACTATTTTGATCAGTGCAATAGTTATGGACACAATGTAATAGGCAGTTATTCAAGTTACTGAGCCAGCCATGGTGGCTCCAATAGGTAACCCTGAACTTATAATGTAGAAGGGTCCGATGAACAGTAGTTCCAGGTCAGTTTTGGCTACAATGAGTTCAAGGCCAACCTGGGCTACATAAGATGCTATTTCAAAAAGCAAACAGGTTTTTTCAGACCTAGGGAGATAGCTCAATAGGTAATGTGCTTGCTGTGCAAACATGATGAATTCAAATCTCAGATAGACAGGCTTGGCGGCTACCTGCCCCCCACCCCCCCACCCCCAGAGGTTGGCTAGCTAGAACAGTCAGTCAGAACAGGCAAGTGGCAGGTTCAGTGAGAGACCTAACCTCAGTGAAGAAAATGGAAAGTGATAGAGCAAGACTCAAAAGTCAACTGGGGATCCACATACAGGGTGACCCCACAGGTGTACCCTGCCCTAACACAAAACAAAATACATAGAACACTTTCCTTAGAACATGCATTATACAATCAGAGACAGGGTTTCTCTGTGTAGCCCTGGCTATCCTGAAACTACTCCATAGACCAGGCTGGCCTCGAACACCTGCCTTCTGAGTGCTGTGTGTGCCATCACCACCCAGCTAGAGCTGTTTTTGAACAACCAACTTCATCTGGAACCAGAGGCTGACTAGTTCAATACTTTTAAGCTCGATCCATCTAATTTACCAGCCATGTTCTGCTTATTTGTAAACACCGACTGTCACCTCACTCATGGGAAGGCTGAGTTTTAAATGAATTACCACTTTACATATAATAGGATTTGGTTTGTAAACACCACTACTCTTCAAAGCAGCAAGATTAGCAGGTACCCCTGTAGGTGCAGAAACTGTGTTGGGAAGAAAGATGGTATTTATGACAACATAAACCTTAAGTGCATCATAGACTACCATTTCCTGTAACCCATCGCATACTGCTCACTTCACATTGCTTCCTGCCATCCTTAGTGAAGAGAGGACAGGACATGGGCGGCACCGAGGGGGGTTCAGGTTCTACCGAAGCATCAGGCTTGGGTTGATCAGAAGCCAAGGCACTCACATGCTGCATTCCACAACTTGTTTGTGTAAACTAGGGTTTTCCTGAACTAAACACACGTTTTCAAAAGGTACTTTATTTCCGTGTGTACATGTTTGTGTGGATACATGTGCATCGTTCAGAGGCCAGAGGTCAATGTCAGTGTCCACCTCATTCCTAGAGATGGGGTCTCCATTACACCCGGAGCTCACCAATTTGGCTTGACTGGCTGGCCAGCAAGCGCCTGGATCCTCAGACCTGCGATTCCAGGTGTGCATTGATTACCATGTCTGGCCTTTCACAGTGGTTCTGGAACTGAACCTGGGCCATCATGCTTACAAAGTACTTTACCACCAGGGGCATCTCCCCAGACCCCAACATAAATCTTAAAACCAGGGAATTTAATGGAGCCAAATGTACAACCTACCACTGTATAATCAGAAAATGAAACTGACAAAAAAACAAGGCTGAGGATTTTAATTTGCAGTAGGTCTCATGCTTCACAAGCAGAACCAGAGGGAGACCCCAGTAGCTTACAGCTTCCCCATGGCTAGAACACAAGGGCAGACACTACCCACAAGTCACATTCTCTTGCAGCAGTGGTCAGTGTTAAACTAAAACGTTAACAACACTCAGCAATTCTCAAACAGATATTCATCAAAATGAGGTATATCTAATGTGTCATTTGCTAAAGAATTCAGTGCTGAAGTAGGAAAAAAATCATCAAAAATATCAGTCTTCATGGGGCTCCCCAAGTTCAAGGCTCTTATGCAGGCACTGTCTGTGAGTGACTGTACTTCAGCTTCACACTGGTTTTTCTTGGGGCTGCAGTAGTTATGGTCCTGTCCCAGACAGATGCTCTGGGAAACAGCATTGAATTCAGTAGGTGCTGGTGTGCTGTCCCCCACCTCCAAGTACCTCAACTCAGACTCCACACTGGCTGAGGGCTCTGACAGGGCTGGAGGCGACAACAATTCTGCTAAAATCTCTTCATGACTCTGGCTGTTACATGAGGTGCCATCAGGAGCAGTGGTGCACCCTGATTTGTTGTCTGCAAGGTCAATTTGATACTGTAGCTCATTCAACAGATCTTCTATGGACTCACAGTCATTTGGAGACCCACAATGGGACACAGGCTCTGAATGGTCACTTACAGAGGTGCCACGGTTCGGGGAAGACATGAGAGCAGCTAGTTTCTTCTTTTTTGCCTTTAGTTTTTTAAGAAGTTTGAGCCGAAGCTTATGAACCTGATCTTCAGCTGCATCTCCACAGCTTGCTGGAGAGATGACACTTTCACTGCTATGCAAATTGTTGCTGAGGGGAGTTGCACGTGAGCTTTCCTGTCCCTTCAACAAGATTGATGTGGCGTTCCCACCAGCATGGGGCAGAGTAGCTGTACTGCCTGAAGGTGGAGAGCAGCTGCCTGCAGTCGGCTCATCCACATGCTTAGAAGCCTTCCTGGACATCCTCTTAGCCTTCCTGTTTACATTTTTTGTCTTAAAGCCATCAAAATTATTGGCTCCTTTAACAGAGGGCTGTAGGTCAGTTACCGCTCTATTCTGAGCCAAAACACAGGGTGGCATAAAGGAACCACCTCTGCTCAACAACCCTTTCACCCAACTTCCCACAAAGGCTTTCTTCTGATCGTCTTTCTGAGGCTGAGTCTGTAATGAGCTGGCCATTACCGTTTTAGAAGACGCTGCAGTTTCTCTTTTTCTCACATTAGATGCCTGAGATTTGGCAGGTTGTGCAGGTTTTAGCCTCTCAGCTGAAAGTGGCAGCAACTGTATCTGAGTGTCCTTCTCAGCTACCATGGACTTCAACTCCTGAACAGGAACAGGAACAGGGGCATCAGTCACAGAGTTAGGAATTACAGTGTCTCCTGCCTGCGACGGTACTGCCTCCGGGTCTGTGCTCACAACTGGTGGGGTCACTAGCTTTCCTTCATATGGGTTAGACAATAAGGAAGTCATCAGTGAGTCTTGTGGTTGCAAAGAAAGTGCTCTGACAAGTTCTGCACTTTCTGCCACAGGTTTATCTTCCAATAGGCAATCTTTGAAGTCAACCTGAAACACAGAGGCAGCTTCGACCAAGCCTTTTGTTCCTGAAAGTACACTATCTCCATGAGCTACAGCTTGGACTTCTGGAAGAGTCTGAGGAGCAACTGGCATGTGTGTGAGGTGGGCGACTGAGGGTTCTGAGGTAGCAGCCCCACCCACAGAACACAGCGTTGGCGAAGCTGGCTGCTCCTCACCTGACGCAGGCTGTGCACTCGGCTTTGTGCATGGAAGGCAAGTGGCTTCTTCAGTTGGTACCTGGGACTTTCTTTCCCAAACAACAATATGTATCTCTGATGCTGGCACTTCACATGTCACGTGCCTTTTAGCAAAGGAACCCTTTAAGTCATCACACTCCAGCCAACTCCCTGGGAAATAAACAAAAGTCACAGGTGAGACCTTCCCCAACACCATTCTCCCTTCCTCGCTGCTGTGTCACTCAGCACCCACCTAAGGAGCAGCTTGCCTCTACCTGTCAGAAACTAGTTTTCATTTGGTCACAGAAGTTACAGGCTATAAAATGCAGAAATCTAAAAATGCAGGGAGATCTACTAGATAGTTTACATTCTTTATTAAATACATACTACATCACAATGGAATCACTTTAACTTCAGAACTGCCTAATATACTCAACATCAAAAAAGAGCAAGTTGTCCCATGTTCATGGCAAAGGACAAGCTTAAGGACTGAAAAGGCTGCAGATCAAACCTTGTAGCTCTACAGGGAATGGACTCAGGGGTCATCATATGGCAGCTTGGTCAACGGCAGTCCTTTCCATTTGCAATTTCTGGGATATGGTGGTTGTGCTGGGTAAAGGATATATGAAGCAGACTAACACCGAGAATAGGAGGTAAGGAAGCAACTAGTAGGGGACACCTTAGAAAGATAGCTATTTTGTTTTAAAGGAAATAATGAATGCTGGCCAGGGCTGTGGAAAAACTGGAACCCTGTGTATTGCTGGTAGGATTATAAAACGGCACAGAAATAATCTAGTCATTTGGGGAATCGCCTCTGAGTACACACCCCAGAGAAGCAACACCACAGGCTTTAAGAGTCAGTCCATCAGTGCTCCCAAACACATTAATGAGGTCACTACTCAGGATTAGAAAGGAAGGAAACATGGCACACTGTACCATGGAGAAACCTTGAAAATGTGCTAAATGAAATAAGCCAGACACAAAAGGCAAATCCCCTGGTTCCACCTGTACGAGGAGCCCAGAGCAGTCACATTCAGAGACACAAGGTAAAACAGTGGCTACAATAGCCAGCAAACATAGGAAAAGGAGCTGGTATCTATCTAGTGAACAAGCATGTTTTAGTTATGAGAGCTGCAGCCTTGGATGCTGGTGATGGACTTACAGGACTGTAAATGAACTTTATAAACTTAAAATACTGATATGGAGAATTCTATATTATATACATTTTGCTACAATAAAAACATTAAGCAAACAGAAACCACGGCTGTAAAGGAAAGAAAATAGATGAAAGACATTGGGGGTGGGGTGAGGGAGGTGTTAAAGGAAGGTGGAGTCTTTCATATTTACTTACATTTTAGTTATGTCACATGATAATTTGAGAAAACCTAACAACTACAAGTCTGGATGAGCCATGGCTTCTCAATAATTAACAAGGTAACTGTGACAAAGCAAGCACACACTCTATGTATGGAATCAGATGTGGTGAACTAAGAGAGCAGAGAGCCAAATATCATGTGCACACTAAAACACATTTCCTGTCCCTTGGATCACAGTAAGAAACCCTGTCTCAAAAAACCAAACCAAACCAAAACAAAACAAACCAAAACAAAATAAATAAATAAATAAAACATTAAGTTTGAAAAACAGGGAACAGGGAGGTTAAGAAAGGAGAAAATCTTTTCTGCAGCTACGCTTCAGACTAATTCAGATGCCAATTTCTAAGGCATCAAATTAGTGACTAAAAACAAATAGAGGTCTAAGACCCAATGGATTTTTTTTCTCTAAATCCCTTAAAGAGAAAAATTAAAACAAGATTAAAATACTGCCAGCACACTGAATACAGGCAAAATGTCACAAAGAAACTCACTGTTCTGCATAATTAGTATAGTGTGGGCACACATGGATGCACATACAAGGAGACACACATTTACTGGAACAGCCAAAGTCTTCATCACCGCCAAGTGCCAGCAATGTTAGGACAACAGGAATTCTCCTCACTGCTTGTTGTGAATGTAAGATGGCAAATTTGGCCCCTTTAGAAGCCAGCACGTTAAAAGACGGGCAGTAGTAGAACATGTCTTTAATCCCAACACTTAGGGAGGCAGAGGCAGGCGGATCTCTGTGAGTTCGAGACCAGCCTGGTCTACAAGTACAGCCTCCAAATTCACAGAGAAATCCTGTCTCAAAAAAACAAAACAACAACAACAAAAAGAAAGACACAGGCATTGGTGGCATACACCTTTAATCCCAGCACTCGGGAGGCAGAGGCAGACAGATCCCTGTGAGTTCGAGGCCAGCCTGGTCTCCAGAGCGAGTGCCAGGATAGGCTCCAAAGCTACACAGAGAAACCCTGTCTCGAAAAAACAAAACAAAACAAAACAAAAAAGACAGCACGCTAGTTTCTCACAAAACAAAACTGCCATTTGATCTAGCAACCAAACTCCTTGGTATTTACACAAACAGACTGCAAAGTTACTCATATCTGTGCAAACAGAACAATCAAGATGGTTTTTAATTGTGTGTGTGTGTGTGTGTGTGTGTGTGTGTGTGTGTGTGTGTGTTTGTTTAGGAAGGCAATGTCAGGTGACATTCCTTAGGTACTGTCCACCTTTATTTTGAAGAAAGGGTCTCTCATTTGCTAAGTAGGTAGGCTAGCTAGCCAGCAAGCTGCAGGGATCTGCCTCTCCAGCTCTGGGTTTCCAAGTGTGCACCAGCATACTCAGCCTTTTGTATGTGGGTTTGGGGACTAAAACTTAGGTACTCCTGTAGCATGGCAAGCAATTTGCTAATTAAGCCATTTCCCCAGCTCCCAAGATGTCTTCTCCTTAGGTGGTGAATGTACCTAAGCTTCAGTATTCAGACACAATGGGATGTCACTTGAGAGATGCAGTGTTAAGCTTTGAAAAGACTTGGAAGAACACTAAGTCCACATTACTAGGCAGAACCAGTGCATTTGAAAAGGCTGCCTGCCATGTGTATAATTGAAGCTATTTAATGTTGTAGAAAGAGCTCGACTATTGTACTGCAGCACTTGAGATAAAGGCATTGGAAGTAAGGAAGGGTAGAGGTAGAGGACAGTGCATTTGTTTTGAGAGTAGCATCTGTATGGTGCTACAATGGCAGGTACTTATTGGCACAGCCACACACTTACTAATGCATAGAGATGGTACACACCAATTGTGGCTCAGGAGCCTTTGGGCAACAGTGTACTAGTATTAATGAGGTCACTACTCAGGATTAGAAAGGAAGGAAACATGGCACACTGTACCATGGAGAAACCTTGAAAATGTGCTAAATGAAATAAGCCAGACACAAAAGGCAAATCCCCTGGTTCCACCTGTACGAGGAGCCCAGAGCAGTCACATTCAGAGACACAAGGTAAAACAGTGGCTACAATAGCCAGCAAACATAGGAAAAGGAGCTGGTATCTATCTAGTGAACAAGCATGTTTTAGTTATGAGAGCTGCAGCCTTGGATGCTGGTGATGGACTTACAGGACTGTAAATGAACTTTATAAACTTAAAATACTGATATGGAGAATTCTATATTATATACATTTTGCTACAATAAAAACATTAAGCAAACAGAAACCACGGCTGTAAAGGAAAGAAAATAGATGAAAGACATTGGGGGTGGGGTGAGGGAGGTGTTAAAGGAAGGTGGAGTCTTTCATATTTACTTACATTTTAGTTATGTCACATGATAATTTGAGAAAACCTAACAACTACAAGTCTGGATGAGCCATGGCTTCTCAATAATTAACAAGGTAACTGTGACAAAGCAAGCACACACTCTATGTATGGAATCAGATGTGGTGAACTAAGAGAGCAGAGAGCCAAATATCATGTGCACACTAAAACACATTTCCTGTCCCTTGGATCACAGTAAGAAACCCTGTCTCAAAAAACCAAACCAAACCAAAACAAAACAAACCAAAACAAAATAAATAAATAAATAAAACATTAAGTTTGAAAAACAGGGAACAGGGAGGTTAAGAAAGGAGAAAATCTTTTCTGCAGCTACGCTTCAGACTAATTCAGATGCCAATTTCTAAGGCATCAAATTAGTGACTAAAAACAAATAGAGGTCTAAGACCCAATGGATTTTTTTTCTCTAAATCCCTTAAAGAGAAAAATTAAAACAAGATTAAAATACTGCCAGCACACTGAATACAGGCAAAATGTCACAAAGAAACTCACTGTTCTGCATAATTAGTATAGTGTGGGCACACATGGATGCACATACAAGGAGACACACATTTACTGGAACAGCCAAAGTCTTCATCACCGCCAAGTGCCAGCAATGTTAGGACAACAGGAATTCTCCTCACTGCTTGTTGTGAATGTAAGATGGCAAATTTGGCCCCTTTAGAAGCCAGCACGTTAAAAGACGGGCAGTAGTAGAACATGTCTTTAATCCCAACACTTAGGGAGGCAGAGGCAGGCGGATCTCTGTGAGTTCGAGACCAGCCTGGTCTACAAGTACAGCCTCCAAATTCACAGAGAAATCCTGTCTCAAAAAAACAAAACAACAACAACAAAAAGAAAGACACAGGCATTGGTGGCATACACCTTTAATCCCAGCACTCGGGAGGCAGAGGCAGACAGATCCCTGTGAGTTCGAGGCCAGCCTGGTCTCCAGAGCGAGTGCCAGGATAGGCTCCAAAGCTACACAGAGAAACCCTGTCTCGAAAAAACAAAACAAAACAAAACAAAAAAGACAGCACGCTAGTTTCTCACAAAACAAAACTGCCATTTGATCTAGCAACCAAACTCCTTGGTATTTACACAAACAGACTGCAAAGTTACTCATATCTGTGCAAACAGAACAATCAAGATGGTTTTTAATTGTGTGTGTGTGTGTGTGTGTGTGTGTGTGTGTGTGTGTGTGTGTTTGTTTAGGAAGGCAATGTCAGGTGACATTCCTTAGGTACTGTCCACCTTTATTTTGAAGAAAGGGTCTCTCATTTGCTAAGTAGGTAGGCTAGCTAGCCAGCAAGCTGCAGGGATCTGCCTCTCCAGCTCTGGGTTTCCAAGTGTGCACCAGCATACTCAGCCTTTTGTATGTGGGTTTGGGGACTAAAACTTAGGTACTCCTGTAGCATGGCAAGCAATTTGCTAATTAAGCCATTTCCCCAGCTCCCAAGATGTCTTCTCCTTAGGTGGTGAATGTACCTAAGCTTCAGTATTCAGACACAATGGGATGTCACTTGAGAGATGCAGTGTTAAGCTTTGAAAAGACTTGGAAGAACACTAAGTCCACATTACTAGGCAGAACCAGTGCATTTGAAAAGGCTGCCTGCCATGTGTATAATTGAAGCTATTTAATGTTGTAGAAAGAGCTCGACTATTGTACTGCAGCACTTGAGATAAAGGCATTGGAAGTAAGGAAGGGTAGAGGTAGAGGACAGTGCATTTGTTTTGAGAGTAGCATCTGTATGGTGCTACAATGGCAGGGACTTATTGGCACAAAAACACACTTACTAATGCATAGAGATGGTACACACCAATTGTGGCTCAGGAGCCTTTGGGCAACAGTGTACTAGTATAGGTGTGCTGAATTAACAAATGCTCCAGTCTGGCATGGGAGGTACATAGTAAGGAAAGAAAAATAGCTAATACAAAAAAACTCAATGGATGATCCGCAGACCAGGGATACAAGTGTTCTGTTGATGGGTTAGTTAGAAAAAGACCAGGTTGGGAAGCAGTGAGGAACTGTCTACAAAAAACAACACATGAAGTAAGAAATACAAGGAGGGGGTTGGAGAGATGGCTCAGTGGTTAAGTACTAACTGCTCTTCCAGAGGACCTGGATTCAGTTCCCAGGACCCACATGGCAGCTTACAACTGTCTGTAACTACAGTTCCAGGGAATCCAGCACCCTCACACAGATATACATGCAGGGAAAACACCAATGCACATACAATAAATCTTTAAAAGAAATACAACAAGGAATAAACAGGTAAACCTATATAGATACATGGCAGAATACTCCAAAACACGGCATTTTTTTTTTAAGAGGAAGAGAAGGGGCAGAGGAATTAAAGACAAGAAGACGGAAATGAAGTCCAGGTGATGTCTGTCTTTACAACAAAACAAACCCATGAGGCTCTATTTCCCACAGTCAGTATCATAAAACCTTTCAGCACTTACCATCAGCTTCTACAATCCATGTTATAAAATGGTTATTTGCTTGGTACTGTATTACACATGTGACTTGATAAAGACTATCTTCGAAATGAAATGCATAGTGCTGCAAATCTTTCCTAGGTAAGCCTTCCACGAAGTGCAGCATGAATATGGGCGATGCTCTGTGGAAAAGAGGCACAAGTCAAACCAATTTCACGCCACGTGTCTGCCATTCAGAAGACCATCCAGTCACACACAAGGCTAGCTGTGCTAACTCTATTCCAGCTCCCCCAGATGTGTGCCTACTTAGAAAGGGAGAAAGGGCTCTAAGAAGCACGTGACACTAAACCCTTTGGAATGGCACCACCAGCAGCTGGGAGCCAGTATGCTGTAAGACTGACAAAGACCCTAAACAAAACTTGCTCTACCAGCAGCTCAAAGCTCATAGCACTATGCTGCGGAGCCCAGCTCCTTTAGGTTTTCTCTGGTATCAGGTGCCCAAATCAATCACTTCTGTGAAGTAGAAAAAGTAGCAAGTGAAAATCTTATGCCTAAAATATTCAGACATTGAGTTGGCCAATTTCTCCTTCATCTCAGGAAGTAAGGAGATCCACTACATTCATATTTACACTTAAGAAAAACTTAATTTGTATATTAAGTAGAGAAAGAAAATAAAATACAGTAGTGGATTATAAACTACAATATGCTCATAATTTCAAAAATACATTTTACTATTATAGTAACATCAAACTAGAAACAAACCTATAGATGGGCCTCAAATAACTAAATGTAACAAAACTCCTGGGGTTTAAGAAGTAGCGGATACCTCTAATATTTAATCTTAATATTTAAACAGATGTCAAAACCTCCTTAGCTTATGAAAATTTATTCAGCTGAAAATGAATTTGAGTCAATGTCCAAACTGTAAGATTATTCAGACAATGAGTGATATGTAAATTACTCCCTGTCAATTATCTTGTGAGAGAGTAAGTACATCCTTGAAACTGAAAAACCTGAAAGTTCTGTAAACCGCCTAGATTACTGCATTCTTTGTCTTGGTGCTTTGTTTTGGGGTTGTTTTGTTTGTTGTTGTTGTTTTTGAGACAGGGTTCCTTTGTATAGCCCTGGCTGAGCTGAAACACTCTGTAGACTAGGCTGGCCTCGAACTTAGATCCACCTGCCTCTGCCTCCCAAGTTCTGGGACAAAGGTGTACATCCCAGCTGCCCAGTTTGTCCTGATTTTAAATATCTGACTTAATTTACCAATTACAAGATGTTGCTGACCATAAAATGTGCCAGTAATGTATACACACTATCAACTGTTACATGAAGTACTGACCCACAGTAAAGCAGAGATTCTCACAGCTGGATAAGCAAGCCTTAGACTCAGACTCTCCATTAAAGTCTTGTATTTGGCTCCCTGGCCCTCACACATGTGACACATACCACTCCAAGTATCTTCTGAAGCTACTTATCTAGATAGAACCTCATGATTCTATCTAGAAAAGGTCAGTGAGTCTGCACATGAGCATTTTAGGACCGATATACATAAGAACAAGAGTAAATTACACAATGCATATAAGAACACCTGCCAGATTGCATGCTTTTTCTAAGGCTTCTGAGGCAGTAGTTGGTAAAGGAGTCCAAGTAAAGAGGCAAAATGAACTCCACCGGCAGCCTGAGCTGCAGTGACAACCACATTATAGCTGAATGTAATCACATGCCACAGAGGCTGCTTTGAAATCATGACAGAGTGTCATTACCCAGAGAAAGGGGAAAGAATGACCAGACTCCACAAACTCTCAGGCAGCTGCTTATGCAGGCCCCTTGCAGAGAGGCTGATCGGTATACTTCAGTTCTCTACAGGGTCCCTTCTGTTTCAGCCACACAGGCGAACCTCACAAGGCCCATACCTGGGTCTCAAGAGCTGAACGAATGTAGCACCGAACAGGGGACCTGGTCCTTCTCTCCGTAATTAGGGAAGTTCTAAACAACAACTCCCTGTGCTTTAACACACCCAAGGTCGTGATGGCCTCCACTGCTGGCAGTCACCAGGCAGTGTTTCTAAACCTCAGCTTGTCCCATCCAGCCGCTCAGGAACCTCATGAGTCCTGCTTTGTTTTCAGGCTTCTTCCTACCAGTGACTGTATGTAGGCATGTTAGCCAAGGAAGATGCTCAGATGTGAGGAGAACCAGTTTAGGCTCTGTCAAAACAATATGAAACAGAATGCATCACCAGACCCAGAACTACAGTCAACAGAAGACTTGGTGCTAATAGCCATCGGCACCTGGGTGCACCTCTTTTGGAAGGATAAATCTCAGGAAAAGCATAGAGAATATATTCCCCAGGCCACCTAAAGATAGCATGAGTACCAATCCCTAACCACCAGGGACAGCCACATCTTATACTAAGAGCTGGATCACAAAGTTGGTTTTCATCAAAACTTCTCTAATAACTCAAGTCTTAGACAATGCTCATTTAACAAGTCCATATCTGTACCACAATAATATCAGTTTCAGACAAAAAGATCTGCAAACCTTATTTTTAAGCCATAGTCCACTTTGTATCATTTCCAACCTTTCTTTTTTTCTTTTTTTGGTTTTTCGAGACAGGGTTTCTCTGTGGCTTTGAAGCCTTATCCTGGAACTAGCTCTGGAGACCAGGCTGGTCTCAAACTCACAGAGATCTGCCTGCCTCTGCCTCCTGAGTGCTGGGATTAAAGGTGTGTGCCACCACCAACTCATTTCCAATCTTTCAGACAATAAGAAACCACCTCAGTCAAATCAGTTGCAGTTCAAATAATCAGAACACAATCATCGAATCTTCAGAAGAAATCCAACTGCCCCACAAAGGGACAAAACTGTTCTCTGGATAGTTCAGGAGCTTTAAAGCATTTTCTGCCAAACAATAAAGATTTCAATTAAGAAATAGAATCTTAGGCCATAGTGGCTGTACCAGTAGTCCCAGAATTTGAGGCAAGGTAGATAGATCTTGAGTCTGAGGCCAGCCTGAGCTATAAAGCAAAAGCCTGTCTCAACAGCCAAGAGACCCTGTCTCCAAAATAACAAAAACAAGAAAACCAAAAACCCAAACCAACAACCAGAAAGGGCCTAGTATGATGGCACTCATCTATTATAAGTTCCAAGCCAGGCAGTGGTGTCCAGGGTTTCTGACACCCTCACACAGACACACATGCAGGCAAAACACCAGTGTATATATATATAAAAAAAAAATGTAAATTTTACACACGCACGCACACGGTGCACTACTAGCATGACTCTAAATCTTAGTTCTCAAAATTCAAGAAAATCTAGAACTCTAATGACCAGGCATTTGACAGAAAAGGAAAAAATTTAAGACAGCCAAAGTGGGGGATGGGGAAGGATACTACAGGAGAAGAGCCAACCTCACAGTAGCCTAACTCTGGCACTTCACCTGGTACAGCTTCCCTACCAGTCAGTTCTTTCAAATGATAGTAGTCACTATTTCCCTTTCCAAGACATGAAACAATGTAAACCCATCTTCATTGTATTGAAAATTTATGTAAATTTAAACTCACCTTTCCAACACCATTTTCCTTATTTGTGATTTACTGTTGCAGCTGTTACATGGACCAAAATGGGCAGCATTGAGTGGATGCCACTCAGGAACAACATTTGTAAAGGTGACCAGACTCTTCAAACACCTACAAAAACAGGCACAACTTGAACCTTTTGTATTAATTTACCACATTCAACGTTTGCTTGTGCTTCATTTCCCACTCATGTATTAGTACAGTGATAACCTCTTCAGCCAAGCTGGAGACTGTGGAGACTCCACACTGACTGGGTTTTCAGCTATGAGAAGCACAAAAGGGTGACTGGCAGCTTTCCAAGCACTAATGCTACTGAAACTTCACTGCAGATAACTATTGTGAGGCCCCACTGTGCACACTGGACATTTTAGGGTCAATCCTAGTCTCGACTTATCACATTCCAGGATCAGTACCCAGTAGCAGCAACCAGTATCCCTAGACACCACCAGAGACCCAAAGAGGATGCATCAGAGGCTCTTGTGAGCATCACTTCTCTAAAGTTATCCAATTTAAAGCTCAGTGTACATAGTGCAAACTGGCTAACCATCACTGACAACAAAGAAGATGTATTTCCAAGTACATAATTCATATCTATTAGAAGAAAATCCCTTGTAGAACACTTCTGCTTTTACACAGGTTGTTCAAGTACTGAATTCACTTTAGATTGCCAGCATAATCAAGATGATCTTCAATGGTGTACACTAAATCTCAGTTGCATCAACTTTAACAAAATACCTTAATTAAAACAAGTATCATATTGCCAAAGAAACACAAGCTTTTCTCCTCTAAATAACAAATAATATTGGCATATGGTACGTGAGCAAAGAAAATCACTGGCGGTTAACAATTGACCAGTTTGCAGAAAAACTAACCTTTTAAATGCAAAGCAACAGACAGGTTGCTCTGGATGCCCAGACTGCATTTCACGTGTATCATTCTTTGAGATACTATTAAGTAAAGACTCAATTAATGTTACGTTCCACGTGATGATTGACATTTATTTCTGAGCACTCAGTGTGCGTATCAGTGTGCATATCATTAGGCACAGAACTTGGCACTCCCCTGCCAAACAACTCTCAAGGGGCAAGTGTTCTAGCCTCTGTATAGACAATGAGCAGCAGACAAATTGGGGTCTGAATCAAGACCACCAGCCTCTACAGACTATCCTCCCCACAAATACTGAATCAGATAAAAGCCTTACATACACTAGCACAAAACCCCGAGACACTAAAATGAAAGGACTAGGCTCAATAGCTTCTGTCAAAGTAGAAGAGAGTATCTGTGACCTCCATGTACAGTGATTACATGTCACCACATCTTATCTTTGACTCTGTAATTGCTTTTCTTTTAGAATGAAAGATTATTCTAAAGAAACTTTAACAATTACTTATTGTATGTGTGTGTTTTTTTAAGACAGGGTTTCTCTGTGTTAACAGCCCTGGCTGTCCTAGAACTAGCCCTGTAGACCTGGCTGGCCTCAAAACTCAGAGACTGCCTGCATCTGCCTCCTGAGTGCTGGGATTAAAAACGTGCACCACCACTAGCCACTAACAATTACCTTTAAAGAAATAAAAACAAGGTACAAAGCAAAGTGATTGGTAGCTTCCCCTGAAGTTCTCTCTGAGCTCCATGCAAACACTGCACAAGCCCACTTACCATCTTATGTACAAAAGTGCAGAGCTGTCAAAAGCTTGCACTGACTGCTGAGCACTAGCCCTCTCCAGTGATTTCATAACTACTTTGCTAAGCAACTAGTCATCTGAATTAGCCACAACAGAAATCACTCCCAATGGCTAGGTGAGCTCCTGGCACACAGAACACACTCAATGAAAAGCTGTCAAAGTGCCAGGCTGTGAATTCTAGAAAAGCTGTAATTAAGCTGATTTTGATTATCAGCTCTGTTTATATTATTAAAAACACAGGTAGTGATTAGGGAGGTTAGCACCATTGAGCCACAGAGGCAAAAAACAATGCTAGAGGTCTCCTGATTCTGCTACTGATGTGAGTTCCTCACTGAGTCTCCATGAGAAAACCAGACCACTTGTACAAATCAATGGAAAGCTAGGAATGGGATACTCACTTGCTTACCCAAATATTTCCAGTCATAGTGTGAATTCCTACCATTCCTAGCAGCTTAGAGCAACTGATGAAGAAGCAAACTTTGCTGTCTTCATTCCCTACAGCATTCTCCCAGACTGACCTCTCTTTTGACTGTTTTCATACTGTCCAGAACACCCTTGTGAGGCCATGGCCATCTAGGAAACAATTTCCTCACACCATTTTACCTTCTAACTGTTGAAGCTTGCTCATAGGTGAGCTGTGACAGGAAGGACTAATCTCTACTGTAATATTCTTAAGAATCACCCACAAGGCAAGTTGTCTTTGGGGGCGGGGGTTGAGACAAGGTTTCTCTGTATAACAGTCCTGGCTGTCCTGGAACTCACTCTGTAGACCAGGTTGGCCTTGAACTCAGAGATCCAACTGCCTCTGCCTCCTGAGTGCTGGGTTTAAAGCTGTGTATCACCACTGCCCAGCTGGCAGGTCATCTTTTAACAGGCAGCTAGCATCTTCCCTGGTCTACTAAGGAGAGGGCATGTCATATAAGTACTTACCTACCCTCTGACTGCTCTCCTGAACCAGAAAACAGGGATAACCTCTGCTGGCTGCTACCATAGATGAGGAGACAGAAGCCTAAAGCAAACAAAAGCTTTGTCTCTAATGGAGGGTAAACAAAACAGTTCCAGGGACTTGTGAGCAGAAGCCCAGCTAAGAACCTTCCAGATCGTGAAGGGTGCTATTCTCATTTGCTTCTAACTTCCCACTAAGGAAATACAGAAAATGTCTTTAGTCATTGTTCAAGCCATGGATTTTTTTTTTTTTTTTTTTTGAGCTAACTTACAGTAACAAGCCAACTTAAAAGATTCTTGTGCTACAAACTGTTCTTTTAGCTTTAGTGGGGAGAGAGTTTAAGATGTAGAAGCCAGCTGTGATCCTTGCCTCCATTTTCAGAACCCAGAAGGCTAGGACAAGAGAGTGGCAAATTTGAGGTCAGCCTGAGTTACTTAGCAAGACCCTATCTTAGGGGAAAAAGAAAAAAGGTGTTGGGATCCAAGACATGGTGATAGATGATGCTTCTACCTCTACCATTCTGGATCCCAATGCAGAAAACCTCAAGCCTTGACCAACCTGGGCTACATAGCAAGTTCTGCCTGGGCTATACTGTAACCTTGTCTGGGTGGGGAAAGGAGGTGTATTGTAGGTAGAAGTGCCAAGACATATATTATAGGTGCAAAATGTGTTACTTAATTACACTGTTACAAACCATCTCAGCAGAAAGAATTCACTAAAAACCCCAAACTGACCTGTTTTGATACTGGTGTCCACAATTGGAACATTCAAAATTCCAAGAAAAAGAATATGTAAAAAGCTTTTCAACATGGGGTTCTAGTTTTAACAGTGCAGGAAATGCAAACACAGGACTTTCCATCTCACCTGCAAAAGAAAAAAGGAGAGATCAGAGATTGAAACAGGCAACTATAAAAGGAAACACTAAATGGTCAATGGTGTCCTTCAGCAAGTTTACAACACAACACCTATGTGTGAACATAGCCTGGCAGAGTAAGTCAATCAAGGTGAATCTGGAGGAAGGCAGAACAGCTCTCCAAACACAGCCTGCATAAACTCAGCTCCTATGCTAGTCTCTATTTTAAATGTCATGAAAACATAATCCAAGAACACATGAGATTCCTACTGCCTTCCTGTCAGAAAGGGAAACTCCTCAGAACTATATCCCTGTACTTTAAAACAAGAACCATGAACATGGTTTACTACAAATACTGAAAGTTAGTGAAAACATTAGAGAATCGCATCAGAATTGGTCTTAACCATTAAAATACCACTTCTATTTGGACTCACCAACTCTACGGCGCACAACAGATTTGATAGACAGGGTAAAGGACCAACTTTGAACCTCCCCACTTAACTCAACCTTTAGTCTAATCCTTGCATAAAACTCCTGCAACTTTAAGACTAGAGATGGTAGGGATTCTGCTGTCCTTAAAAGTGTTAGCTTTGAGATCAAGAAGGCAGTTTAATAGGCAATCCCATTCTTACAGCCCTATTCCAACTGGTTTCTTTCCTTCTGATCCTCAGGGTTTAACAAGGCCCAGGACACAGACCACAGACTGCTTCCCGCCTCCTCACTAGACCAAGCCTGTTCTCAGGGTCCTGTCCTTCCCTAGCCCAGAACTACAGATGCCTAAAACATGGACAGCAACTGTTGTGATGGAAGGACCAGAAGGTAGACAACAGGTTTCATTACCCAAGCATGTGCTGCAAACATCTGCAACTACCAAGTGTATTTTAATAGTTGTCTTTGTGATATAACCCCATTGCTTTTTTTAATTCTTTGAGACAGGGTCTCAGTATATAGCCCTGGCTGTCCTAGAACTCACTATGTAAACTAGTTATGCCTCTGCTTCCCAAATGCTGGGATTAAAGGTGTGCACCATCATGCCCAGCCCTTGCTATTTTTATATAAAAATGTAAGTCAAAATAATGCATTTCTTTTTTTTTTTTAAAGATTTGCTTATTTATTATGTATACAGTGTTCTGTCTGCATGCATCCCTGCAGGCCAGAAGGGGGCACCAGATCTCATTACAGCTGGTTGTGAGCCACAATGTGGTTGCTGGGAATTGAACTCAGGACCCCTGGAAGAGTAGCCAGTGCTCTTAACCTCTGAGCCATCGCTCAGGCCCCAAAATAATATATTTCTTATAAAGAAAAATAGAAACCAGCCTCCTAGAAATGACAACTGTATGAGTTGTGGATATTTAGTATACATTTGTGATTGAATTACCAGACTTTGAATCTTAACTCTATTATAACTAAACATTAACTAAGAAGGCAAACAATTTACAACTCACAACAGCACTAAATCTTCACGTCTAACATATATTCATATATATGTGCTGGGATTATATATATACATATACATACACACACACACACACACACACACACAATTTTGAGGCAGTGTTTCACTGTGTCATTCTGGCTGTTCTGAACTCATTATGTGTAGACCAGACTCAACTTGAACTCACAGAGATCCATGTTCCTCTGCTTCCCAAGTGACACTACACATGGCTTCTAATATATATTTTAAAACGTGGAGAAATATTTGATGTCAATCTGTCATCCAGGTGTGTGTACACAAGCATGTGCACACAAGTATATACACAGCACACAAAAAGTTAATACAAATATGAAAGGGTAATAAAAGAAATTTCCCACTGGGTGGTGGTGGCATACCCCCTTAGTCCCAACACTTGGGAGGCAGAGGCAGGTGGATCTCCTGGTTTACAATTTAGTTCCAGGACAGCCAGAGCTGTTACAGAGAAACTGCCTCAAAAACAATAAATAAATAAATAAATAAATAAATAGGCAGACAAATAAATATATAGATTTCTCTCAGAAAACTAAAGTAGTACACACTTGTAAGTCTGACTATAAGTGGCTCAGGCTAAAGATTCATGAGTTCAAAGAAAGTTTGGGCAATTAGTAAGACTCCACCTCAATAAACAAAACAAAACCAAGATAAAAAGCACATGTTTTCCTTTTCATAACACTATGAACCCTGGAGAGACATTAGTTAAGATGTTAGTCTTGCCTCACAATGCTCCCATATTCACACTGGACACAGCAAGTCCACCTATGCTCCTTTATTGGTGATAAGATATGGCAGAATGAATACATCCTAAAGAGTCACTTGTACCCTCCCTTTCTGCTATCAGAACATTGAAACAATGATCCCGGAGAGCTGGAATTCCCTCAGGAATCTTGTGCTGGGGGAGGGAAAGGCTGAGGCTCTGGTGCCTGACAGACAGGAGCTTGTCTCTCATGAAGAGATTTCACACCACCTGACAACTTGTTAGTCCACCCTGCAGGAAAAACTCAAGCTCCCACAAGGATGGATCAGTGATGGGCAAGACTGCTTAGTTATGCACCTCCTGCCCTCACCTAAAAATGATGTTGGGACCCTGAAGGTCACTGCCCCATTTTACTTGTTCCTCTTCTGGATGTGGGCCAGAGTGAACAAACCTCTTTTCTTGACTTTTCACTATTTCCTGTCCAAATGGCCTACTGAACACTGGTGTGTGAGCCCAGCTTGCTGGAGCTCCCAGGACCTGGACTTAGACCCTAACAATTCTGGTTACATGTCCATGATATACTAACATATACCTGACCAAAACGGTACAAGTTAATCTTGTGTCGTGCAGCTGGAGATTTGGTTTCAAGTGCAGAAGCGCCAACTGTATACCAACTCTTTATACTTTACAGGAGTCTGGATTAGGCTACCAGAGGAAAGTAACCAGGAGAGTTAGCCCAAAGTGTTCACCTGGCTTTCAGAATGAAAGAGGTGAACACCAGCTTGCACACTTACACAGAACAGGGGTGGACAACAGCGACGTAAACCAGTGGGAGATTCCTAAGGTAAACTACCACTAACCAGATTCTCCCCTGAAAAGAATTGTACACCAAGTACTAAAATAATGCATTTCCTTATCTGTACATATTTATACAGTGAATCAGTCAAGTTCCACAACTACTTACCTAATGTGCATCTAAGCTTAGGCTGAAGTTTAGTAAAAATTTCACCTCTAACTCCATTCAGACAAGTCTCTATCTCTGCAAGTATTTCTGACCTCAGTTGTTTACAATCTTCACCTTAAAAAAAAAGCCAGAACATTATTACCTCATTAATTCGTCTTTCCAGAAAAAAAACTGAGATAGTAATAAGAATGAAAGTTTATCAGTACATTTTGCAGCAACCACCTCCCCTGTGGTATCATATATTCCTTTGACATCTGTCATCAGCAGAGTACCATTTGCCCTTACTACCTGGATGAAACCCCAAGGAAAGCCTTTCTCAAAAAACAACAGATGCAGTAATAGACACATGTTAGAACGACGATGAGCACTTGACATTTCAGTTTGACTTTGGAATCATTCCTACAGCTTCATCATACTCGAGAAAGCTTACATTCTCAATGAAATGAGCATTAGACAAGACTTATGCTATTTGTTCCTGGAAAGTAAAAGGGAGGGAAGGAGGGAGGAAGGAAAATTTACAATACAGAATAATGAGGGCCACACACAGTTAGTAAGATTAGGAAAACTCTACTTATGCTGTATGTGGCTAATATAAACTAAAAGAAAAAAATTAAAATTTCAGTATTAAATGTTGCTCTTCTCAAATCAGTGAACTGTCACCTACTCTGCACCAAAGTTCTTGTAAATACACACACACACACACACACACACACACACACACACACACACACACACACCTAAAAGCAATGCTTGTGAGAAACTGTAAAACCCACAAATGACTGTCACATGAAAAATTCAGTCTCAAACAAGTTAAAATAAAGGTCTTAACAAAAATCGTAACTTTTAAATATTTATGCCCAAAGGTGGTTAAGGAATCTGAGATATATTTTTCCATGTAATAAAAAGAGCAGCAGCTCTCTTTCCTGCTGTTCCTCTGAAGGGGCAGGCAGGACTAAACCCCCTCCCCCTTCCTCAATAAAACTTACTTCCTATGAAAAAAAAAAGAACAGCATATTTTAAAATTTTTCTTAAAGCTTTACTTATCTATATGTGTGTATTGCTGATTATATATATGTCTATCACATGTGTGCAGGTAACTGTGGAGATCAGAAGAGGGTGTTAGATTCCCTGGAACTAGAATTACAGGCAGATGAGAGCCACCATGTGAATGTTGGGGACTAACCCTGAAAGAGCAGCCAGTACCTAACTGTTGTGTATCTCTCCAACCCTGAGAAGCTATCTCAATAATTCTTTTGGAAAGCCACTCTGCAAAAAACCTTTAATATGTACATTCAATGACCTTCTAGGATACTAATCTGCAAGATATTCAAAAGCTCCATGGCTGTAGTCATAATGTGAACTCATAATGGCAAACACAACAGAGAAGCAATGCACAGCACCTACGCAAATGTCCTTGAAATCCCCCATTATACCTTTTAGTGTATTAACAAAGAAACACCTACAATGCTAGGGAAAGCTTGCAACAATGGCTATTCTGTCAGAGGATAAAAACAAACAAAACCCAAAAAAACCCATGTGCAAGCAAAATCAGATAACAACACAGAGACTTCATGTCCACATATAATAAAAAATGTGTAAAAGAATTTCAATGTTAGAAAGTAAACTATGACTTCTAAAGGAAAAAAAGAAGTGTAATAATTCTTTTGTTGGTTTTTTAAAACGGGTTTTCTGTGTAGTCCTAGCTGTCCTGGAACTCGCTCTGTAGACCAGGCTGGCCCAACACACAGAGATCCGCCTGCCTCTGCCTCCCCAGTGCTGGGATTAAAGGCGTGCGCCACCACCGCCTGACATAAAATATTTTTTAAGTAAAATACAAGCTGTAAACTAGGAGAGGAATCAGCAACATATATGACATAAAACAGCAACAAAGATATAAGAAAATGCATCCAAATAATAACATGACAATCAACAGAACAAACTGGTATTTCACAGAAAGAAGAAGGGATGGAAACAATATATACACAAAGGGGCAACAGATCAATCTCTTCCAGTTCTAGAGAGGCAAAGCCAGTCTGAAGACCTTATATGCACTGACAGCAAAACTCCCCGTGTGAAAACATCCCAGAGAATACATGAATTGGGAAGGTATCTTATACATTGCTAGAGTAGTACTGACACTGCCCACTGACAGTTGAGTAAACATACAGTTGGCCTCCACTCCAGCAGGTCCCAGCATCACATTCTAACCAACCACAGACTGAAAAGACTTGGGAGAGAAAAACCTCATCTGTACTAAACAAGCAGACCTCCTTATCATATTACCTACACACTATAATCAGTATTTGCATAGCATTTACATAGCATTAGGAATAAGTAATCTAGAGAGGATTTGAAATTCATGGAATGGGTTTAGGGTAGAGCTGTCTTAGCATGTGCAAGGTCCTAGGACTGATCTCAGCATCACAAAGTAAAATAACATTGAACATGATTTCAACATAGGCAACAGGCCTAAGTTGATCAACCCTAAGTTCATTAAAATCGAAAGTATATGGGACAACATGCACTCCCATTATACAAGCATTATGCCATTTCTTACAGAGGACCATGGTATCTGCAGGATTTCCTAGAGCTAAGCTTCCATAGATATCAAGGGAACTGTATTGATGTGTTTCTACTATTCATTCATTCATTCATTCATTCATTCATTTTTGTGTGACTGGAGTAGGTTGGATGCTTTCATCAGGAGTCTGTGTTCTTCTTCCTCCACTGTATGGGTTCTGAGGACTAACACCAGATCATCAAGGTTGGTGGAAGTACTTTTACCCACTGAGCCCTCTCACAGGCCTGAGAATGCTTTAATACTTTTTGGGTTGGAAGTTGAGGCTCATGAACACCCTATTTTGGAGAAATTAACATAGAGTACAATGGTACAAGCTTATAATCAAGCATGCCAGAGGCTAACGCAGGAGGAATGCAATTTCCAGGCTGGCTTAGGCAACATAGAAAGACACTGTCTCAAAATCAAAACAAAACAAACACACCATCTGTATAAATGTATGTGTATGTACATATATACATAAACAGGATGCTCAAGTCAGCTGCATTATCCCTGGTTGTCAAGGCAGTGGTGGGAATTACAGGTGACTGTCATTTACTACGTCATTCTGGTTGTTTCACTTCACAAACTTCAGATCTGACTGACAGATTCTATGGTGACCACTATCACCCTGACATACCACTGCCCCTTTCTTCTTCAGTGGCAGCTTTAGGGCCAGTCGTGTGCTGTAATTGGCACTATCCCTAGGTTCCCTGCCCAGGTCTCTACATAGAACAATGACTTTTCCACATTCTGGGATACAAAACTCAACACTGACATCTTCCAACTTAAGAAGAATACACAACACAAACCTGTGACACCATGCAAGTGGTGGGTGTACAGAAGCTTATCTGCTTGGTGGTATGTTTCAAACAGCCTCCCAAACACACATTCTTCTCTGGAGCACACCTCCATCACAGTGTTCCTCAGCGCCTCCAGGTGCACCAGGGCCGAAAGGATACAGTCTAGCCAGCAGAGTGCCTGAGAGTTTCTCCACTGGACACAGAGAGTCTGGCAAAACGGTAAACACCTGCTCTCAGATGGCATTTCCAGCTCAGATCCTTGACTTTGGGTGAGCACTCCAAAGACACTAACTGTGGCAGGATCTTCTTTGGTAGAAACATCCACAGTATCAACGTCCAAAGTGTCCACAGTATCAACTTCCAAAGTCTCATTCTGCTCTGAGGAAGCAACTGCCCTGACATGATTCTGGTGACTAGTGTTATCTGGTAAGTTTGATGAGGTGTCACCACACACTTTTCCATTGTATTTAGCATTCAAATTCTGTTCCCCATCAGTGACAACGTGATTTCTAGTCTTTTTAGAATGTACTGGAAGAGGTGAAGACTTGGCGTTCGTTTCCAATCTTTTTCTTTTTTGAGGCTTATTTTGAGTGTGACAATCTCCCGAATCAGGAGAAATTAAATTAGTAAGTGACTCAGAGCCCAAAGGATAAATGCACTAGAAAGGAAAAATAAAATTGTTAAAAAAAAAACAAAAAAAAAAAAACAAACCAACCTCAATGATAACCCAAATCAGGTGAAGAGTTCTGGCATTTATGTGAATATCTCTAACAACCTAATTAAAAAAAAAAAAAAAAAAAAAAAAACTATTAGTAACTAATTAAAATTTGCCCCTCTCCAAAGAATATTTTCCCTAATTAATCTGCATCATCAAATCACCCAAGCCTGGGACAGTGATACATGCCTTTAATCCCAACACTTAGGATGTAGATTAATTGGGGGGGGGGGGGGGCTCCTCTGAAGCCAGCCTGGTCTATATGTTGAGTTCCAGAACAGCCAGAGAGTTACATAGAGAAATCTTGGGGTGGGGAGGCCTTTAAGTTACATTACACTAAAAGAAAACACTATTTTGGCTTTAGTAAAAAAAAATATAATGTCAAGTAAATAAAAACTTCCAACAATGTAAAGAAAGACTATGCATGCTACTTTGGGGGAGAAAAGAAACTTATAACATTAAAATTGGGGAAAGTTTGGTTTTTTCCAATATGGGGTTACTCTGTATAATAGTCCTGGCTGTTCTGGAACTCATTTTGTAGACCAGGCTGGCCTTGAACTCACAAAGATCCACCTGCCTTTGCCTCCCAAGTGCTAGGATTAAAGCTGTGTGTGCCACCACACCCATTTGGGAAAGTATTTTTACATAAAAAATTTGCTAAGTACTTTCTGTGTATCTTACATGTTCTAAGATCTATTTTTATTATCCTTACTTATGTGTATCTATGTCTGAGTGAATGCAGTGTATGCAGATGCCCAGAGGTCAGAAAAGGGTGTCAGATCCCTAGGAGGTAGAAGTCATAGGCAACTAACTGTAAACTACCTAACATGGGTGCTGGGAGTGAACTCAAGTCTTCTGCAAGAGCAGTACTTGCTCTTAACTTCTGAGCCACTGCTCCAGTCCCTGTATCCTGTATTTGAAGTAAGTTCAAGGGAATCTCGAAAAATCAAAACAAACAAACAAACAAACAAACAAACCCCCAAGTATCTCATTTAAAACATGTCATGTCAGGCTTGGTGGTGCATTCCTTTAGCCCCATCATCCAGGAGGCAGAGACAAGAGGATCTCTCAAGTTCAAGGTCAGCCTAGTTGACAAAGCCAGTTCCAGGACAGCCAGGGCTGTTACACAGGGAAACCCTGTCTTGAAAGGCCACAAATAAATAAATATGCTGTGCCTTCAACACAGGCATGGTAGACTAGTGTCCTGCAGTGAACTGAGGAGCCACACCTCCCTCAGTCAGTCTTCCGACTGTATTCAGCTGTTTCCAGCTTTGGAGGGACATCAGGACACATGAAACACAGGGAAGCCTGCTAAGTCCTGTCTCATCACACTGGAGCCTCAAGAACTAAGAATCCCAACTGCCTGCCTGCACCGAGCTCCTCAGCAGCATCGGGCACTTTGGCTAGCGCTTGGTTGTTCTAGAAGACACTACTATAGGCATCAGAAGCCTTGCCTGGTCAACCCAAAGAATAAGGACACCAAATCAAGCCATCACCTAGGAAGCTAGGGCGTTAGCAGGTAATTTACCTCACAGCTGCAGGTATATTACATGTGCTAAATTTTCTTTCACACACTGAACTCCATGTGAGCACATAGATCAGCTCTGTGCTGTTAGCTGTACAGTGAAGTCAGTACTAACATGACCCTAAACCTCATGAGAGTCCCTAAATCCCACTTTACCTGAGAATGACAACATGAAAAAAATCAGTTGTGAGCCAGGAGTAGTGGAACATGCCTGTAATCCTAGCACTTCAGGGGCCAAAGTGGGAAGACTGTAAATTCTAGATTAGCTGGACCATATGGCTTGCCGCAACCAAAACCAAACCTATCTCAAAATACAAAGAAACCAAGTAAGCAAACCACTGTGTATAAAACTTTGAGTACTAGAGAATTCCTTATCATTTAAAAAAAAATGCATCAAATACTGGAAGTGTTAGCAAGTAAATACATGCCTACCAGCAAAGCCTCCCTTCTGAGGGCTGGGATTGGAAGATCATGACTAAAAGTGAATGTATGTCAAGGGTGGTTAGTCACTTTGTCTAGTATCCATTGTTCTGAATGTGTTGTCAAAACTCCTAGATCAACCCAAACCTTCCTTTGGGCATCAGTGCCCACCCTCTGCTCCACAGGGTAGCCTGAGCCACTTACCCCTCCCTACCTGATAGGATCAGCTTAGAAATGCCTTTAATTGGGTTTTTTCCCAATTAAAAAGAAGAAACAACAAACCTCTTCCTTCTCATGCCACAGTTCTCAAATTCCCATTCACTTTAATTACTACTCCTTTACCCCAAGAAAATGTGTTCACTAGTATATTCTAGAGAACATAGAAAGAACACAGATAAAGCAAGACACAGGGCAGGGAAGAGAGTAGTGTGGCACCTCTGTGCCATCTGGACACACCAGCCTGAGAATTTATGGAATACTCCTGTATCTGCAGCACTGGTGTTTAGCCCTCCCCCTTTCCTGTGGGTCAGTGAATGAGCTTAAAGTGCCAACACCATGATCATTTGGTCTTTCTGGGGCATCCTGAAGCTACGTAGAGGCATGCCCCTAAGTCACCCACTAGGAAGTCAAAGGGGCTCATTAATGACAAAACAGTGCTATCGCTGAGAAGCCAGACAGAGACAACTGGAGACCCATCCATTACCTATACTGTCAATCCAGAGGCACGTGATCTAATAACACAGACAGGAGACTATGCCACTCTTCCACCAGTTCCCTCTGCAAATTTAGGAAACATCCTGTTTCTAGAACCTATGGATCTGTTTTGTTAGTTTAAAAAAGAGAATACTATTTTGTAAAATAACTATTTTGAGAAATGTGCATAAACTGTTCATGCACAGGATCCTCAGTGCCCAAGGACCACAAACCAAAGCCAGTATCTAAGCAAAGCCACCCTACGACGATGGGCCTCACCACAGAGAAGGTGGCGTGAGGTACAACACGGGGTAACTTCACTGTGTTCAGGGTCCTCTAAAGTCACTCCAATGTCTCTGTTGTCCTTAGAATCAGACAGGGATCTGTGAACCTGACTGCAAGCACGTAAAATAATGGTCTTGTCCTCTGTATGTGGTTTTGTTGCCGAGTGACTACAGCCTGATATAAGCATTTCATATTATATATAAACTTAAAAATAAATATTTTATGGGATTAACTGTTTTTATTTTTGGATTTTATTCATTTTATGTATATGAGTGATGGGGAATGTTCTTCTGTGTATATGTTTGAATTATTGATTGATGAATAAAGTACTGTTGGCCAACAGGGAAGCAAGATAGGTGGAACTAGGAGGGGTGGAGAATTCTAGGAAATGTAGGCACAGTCAGTCACCATGTAGGACGTTAGAGGAGTAACAGGTCCAGACCCTTTCTCCAGTAAGAGAAGACCACATGGAAATACTTAGATTTATAAAAATGGGTTGATGATGATTAAGAATAAAAAACCTTAGCCAAAGGCCAACAGTTCCATAATTAATATAGCATTTGTGTGTTCATTTGGGACTGACACGGCTCTGGGACCTGGCTGAAAGAAAAGTCACATAACATAATGGTGCTCTCAACATTCAGCACACATTTCCACTTAAAATCTTACAAAAGCTTAAAAAGGGAGCAGGGCGGTGGTGGCGCACGCCTTTAGTCCTAGCACCCCGGAGACAGAGGCAGGCCAATCTCTGTGAGTTCGAGACCAGCCTAGTCTACAAGAGCTAATTCCAGGACTGCCTCCAAAGCCACAGGAAAACCCTGTCTCTGAAAAACCGAGGGGGAAAAAAAAAAAAAAAAAAACGCTTAAAAGGGTTTTTAGAAACAAACGAACAGAGATAAGCACAGCTTCTTGGTAGCAGCATTTTCTCAGGTGGGCTCTGTTTTGCTAGAGGCAAGCAGAGACTAACAGGGCTCCTTTAAGGAAGGTTTCCTGACTCAGCACAAACAACAACAACAAAAAAACCCTCATGGCCCTTTTAAGAGGCCCTGCTAACAATTGAATGGTGTGTATGAGCAGCTGGCAGTGGCAGTGACAGCATCTCCAAGCCGGCAGCCTGCTTGCTGCTTAATGGCAGCATAGACCAAGGTGGTGAGCACAGTAAATGTATCCCTACCATCTTGGAAAAACAGCAGCTAAAACAGTCGAGGCTTTAATTTTAGCATTGTTGTTTAGCAGATAAAAGTAGAGTGGCCAGAAAAAGGTAAAGATTTATAGTAAAGGCAGATTCAGATGAAGTAAAACCTCTAAAAGAGTGCCGGTGTCGCACACCTTTAATCCCAGCACTCGCAGGCAGAGGCAGGCGGATCTCTGAGTTCAAGGCCAGCCTGGTCTCCAGAGCGACTGCCAGGATAGGCTCCAAAGCTACACAGAGAAACTCTGTCTAGAAAAACAACAACAACAAAAAAGCCGTACCTTAGTCCTTCTCATTTACCAGAGTAGCTGGGTATGGTGGTACATGACTTTAATCCCAGCACTCGGAAGACAGAGGCAAGCAGAACTCTGATTTCAAGGCCAGCCTGGTGTACCGAATTGAATGGTGTGTATGAGCAGCTGGCAGTGGCAGTGACAGCATCTCCAAGCCGGCAGCCTACTTGCTGCTTAATGGCAGCATAGACCAAGGTGGTGAGTTCAAGGGCAGGCAAAGTTACACAGAGAGACCCTGTCTCCAACAAAAAAAAAAAAAGAAAGAAAAAATGAAAAATAGAGTGATAAAAATAAATAAGCCACATAAAGATGGAAAATACACAAGAGTCTGGATACTGTATGCTGTTGTGTTGTCTTTGAATTGACTGACTGCTGAGGAAACAGCAACAACTGCTAAAAGAAAGCTGCTGGATTAATCCAATTTATATATTTTAAAAATGCCTTGTCTTCAAAATTTAAGTATATGTTACTTTGGAAAAGAGATTTTATTTGTGTTTCCACAGAAAATGAAAAGCTGTGGATTCTTTCCAGACTAATATGATTTGATGAAGCAAGAACCCCTGAGGCAGTGACCCAGATGATCCAACATTCAAAACAGTTGGGGACAAGGCAGCCTTGCAAACCACTACAGCCAGGATTTCTGGGACTTCTTAGGATCCCCAAAACAGCATGCCCAAATATCAGGAAGCAGTTTGGAGAGAACGACGACTACATTCCCAAATACTGTTTATAAATGTCCGCTTTCATTTAAATGGGGTTGGTTATAAATGGTTAATGATCACAGTTAATCTCCTTCTAAAGCAAAAAAGGGAAATATGATATAGAAATGAGTACTTTGCATTGGTATGAATTTTCACTTATTGATACAAATTTAAGGTCAATTTTGTGATATGTATATTTGTTTATATATTATGCTCATATAGCTCATTTAAAAATAATGTGTAATTACATACAGATTGTATATAATCATCTATAATAGTCAAAACTTTTAGTTAGGTTTTCTAGATATACAGAGATGTATTTGAGATGGATAGATAAGGGAAATATGATATAGAAATGAGTACTTTGCATTGGTATGAATTTTCACTTATTGATACAAATTTAAGGTCAATTTTGTGATATGTATATTTGTTTATATATTATGCTCATATAGCTCATTTAAAAATAATGTGTAATTACATACAGATTGTATATAATCATCTATAATAGTCAAAACTTTTAGTTAGGTTTTCTAGATATACAGAGATGTATTTGAGATGGATAGATATTCTTCAAACCTTTCAAAGACCTACATAATATGGCATTTAAAATGATTTAGGGTTTTTTTATGACAGTGAGATACAACTGTTCCTGGCAACACCAACTAAATCTGAAAAGGAGGATGGGCATTGAAGAAACTCAATACGGAGTTTGCCTTCAACATAGCAAGATTAGTCATTTGGGCAAGAAACTGTTCTTGCCTGGACTGTTTGATAAACTGGACATGCAGGATCCACAGGAAAGTGACTGCTGAACTTGATGGGAAATTCTTAAAGGGTTCCTACTTAATGGAAGAGTCTGCCAGATATTCTGCAGGACACAGAAAAATGACTGACAAACTGCCAATGCAGGTGGACAGTTTAAAATTTCCTGCTTTGCAGAGAAGTCAGTCACCATGTAGGATGCTAGAGTAGTAACAGGCCCAGACCCATTCTCTGGTAAGAGAAGACCTTGTAGAAACACTTAAGATTTATACAAATGAGCTAATGATTAAGAATAAGAAACCTTAGCCAAAGGCCAACAGTTCATAATTAATATAGCATTTGTGTGTTCATTTGGTACTGACACAGCTCTGGGACTAGGCTAGCAAGAAAAGTCAGTCAGGTAACATATGAGTGTTTTGCCTGCATATATATGCACCCAGGAACTGGAATTACAGAATTGACCCACCATGTGAGAGCTAGGAACAAAACCTGGGTCCCCTGAAGTGAGTTCAAGGACAGCCAGAGCTACACAGTGAGACCCTGTGTGTTTGGGTTGGGGAGTGGAAGGAATAACTACTATATGGTAAAAACATAATAAGGATCCCCACAAAATTAATAGCAAGGAACAATAACTTAAGAATCCAACTGGAAAATTAGTAAACTCTTTAAAGTTGTTTGTCAGATATTTAAAAACTGTATTACCTATGCATTCAAAGCCTATACTCTGAAAAAGCAAAATGAGTAATATTTAAACAATGAAGAAAAAGCAGAAGGCTGAAACCTATATACCATATAACATTAGTACTTTACCTGAAGATCCTCACACAAAAAGATAGATTCTTGGAAGTTAATTTGGTAAGTTTTTAAGTTGTTTAGCTTTCCTTTTGCTCTACAAGCAGGGCATTGCCCATCTGTTGTAACTTTAGCTGAATCATAATTCTAAAAGAGAAATAAAACAAATTAAAAGAGACATTCCTAAATTTATTAAGTTACAAAAGAGTTAAATGAAAGGGTAGGTAACCAGAAAAAAAAAATGTACAATTTCCCACTAGTATTCTGGCAAGATTTAACACAGCAAACAAAAGAAACCATGTATAGTCTTAACAACTATTATCCAAATAAGACAGTTATATTCTTAAATATTAAATTTTGAATTAAAAAAATAGCATTAGCTCCATTCACAAGGAAAAGGTAACATATTGTCCATATTTTCAAATAGAAAGCCTAAGATCTAGGCATTTCTACTTTCACACATCAACAACAAAGAGGTAAACAAATTATAATAATCTTTCGCCATTGCTGTAAGATTTCCGTGGAAGACATAACTTTTTAGGATGTCATTCATAAAATGAAATTTAAAAATTTAAGTTTCATTTATAATTTAAATTTCAAATACAAGAGGAAAATAAACCAATTTTGCACTGAGGCCAAAAATAAGTTCACTAACTTTTCCCAAGTACCCCAGCTTGGGGAGTGAAGATATCCCTATATCAGTCCCCGGTCCAACCCGTGGCAAACCATTTCCAATCTTCAGAGACTCCATCAATCCGAGTCATTGGCTAATTTATGTCACTTGGAACATGTCAATATCACTAAGGATTTTTCAATGAATCCTGGAAAAAAAAAGTCAACAATTAAATAAAAATCCTATTGATTCTAAAAAGAGAGCTTTGCTATTTTATAAGACAGAGATATTACATATATTTGAGAGCTGCAAATTCCCAGATAAACATTCTAAACATTCTAAAACTGTGGTCTTGAAAGTCCCTAAATGTATTTAGATATTTACAAATGGACGAGAAATCAGAGTGATCACAGGGTACATTTTCCTACATACAGAAAATTACAATTTCATAGAGGCAGCGACTGGTTAAGCAAGTTAGTCAACAAAGTCTGAGAACCTAAGCTTTTCAGTCTATGCACAGTTTGATGCAACCATGCCAGCATTAAAAAGAACATGAACCTTCCAGGCCTACTGATCTAGCAAAACAAGAACAAACAAACCACACATTTTATGTCTTCCTACAGTTCTCAACCACTAACTCTTCACCAGTTGGGAATATTTTTTTGTTTGAAGACAGAGTCTCACTAAGTAGCCCTGGCTGGCCTGGAACTTGCTATGTATGTAGACCAGGCTGACCTTGAACTCTGCTTGCTTCTGCCTCCTAAGCACTGGGATTAAAGGCCTGCAACTATAACTAGCAGAATACTACATTTAAAACGTTACCAACAAAATAGTATGATCTTTGTAATGATCTGTATCAGAACAAAAATTAAGTCCATCTATAGTACATGTAATAAGCATGTACTTAGTATAGTGCCACAGAGTTGACCCCATTTGGAAGATTCAGGACACAACTCAACACAAGAAAACCAGATCTAAAAGACCTTTAGGCAGAGATAGGTTAACATTTGGTCACAGAGTTGAAACCTCAAGCATAAATCTTGACAAAACCTAAATTTTGCATGGTCTACAGAGCCAAGTTCTAGGATAACCATAGGGACATACAGAGAAACTGTCTCAAAACAAACAAACAAAAAGATATATACATCCACACAAATATATACATGCAGTGTGAAAATCTGTGACCACACCTGTAACCACAATACTTGGGAGAGGGAGAGGGGGAAAGGGAGGGAGGGAGGGAAAGTAGGAAGGGAGGGTGGTCGAGCGAGCAGTATTATTGAGTCTCAGTTTCCACAACCTTTAGCTGGTTCTACTCATAACCTATTCACAAAAAAAAAAAAAAAAAAAGGAATTACAGGACATAGGAAAGCCAACCCCAATGATTCAGAGTGATACATAGCCTATGCTATGTACCTAAATTTGTTCTAAGAAGTAAATGAAGCCATGCTAACATCTAAGTTACAGTTATCATGTGATGCTATTTCATGATGAGGGAAACAGACAAGTGCACCTTCTGTCAGTCTGCATTAACTCTCAGAAGAGAAACCTGCAGGCTCCTCAATAAATTGTTCATGAAACTTTTTATCTACCTGAAGGTCTAGGAAACTGTTTGGAATGGTTCTTTCTCAATATAGAAGTAGAAATGAGAATCCTTCAAACCTGCTCTCCTGATCCTATCATCCACTATTTCAACAGGAAGGCACGGCACATCCCAACATGGTGGTACATGCCTTTAAGCCTTTAATTCCAGCACATGGATCTCAAGCAAGATAGTGGTAGAAACACCAAACAATATTAAGACACTCTTTTTCTGCCAAAGAATATTCATGTTTAAAATTCCAGAAGTAGGCTTTCCAGATCTTTATTTATTTGTTTGTTTATTGTTTTTTCAAGACAGGGTTTCTCTGTGGCTTTGAAGGCTGTTCTGGAACTAGCTCTTGTAGACCAGGCTGGTGATGAACTCACAGAGATCGGCCTGCCTCTGCCTTCCGAGTGCTGGGCTTAAAGGCCTGTGCCCCCACCGCCCTGTGGCATTCCAGGTCTTTAACTCCATCTTATATACAAAATCCTGGGGTGGTTCTTACACCTCAATTGTCCCATGACAACTATCTTCATTATCTTTTCTTCAAAAGTATCCTGACCCTCCCTGTATGGTGCTTAAATTTGGCATCTTTGGGCTTCCAAAGAAAAGTTTGACTCTGCTACTCCCATCTTTCTCATGGATGCACAGTGGATGGTGCCTTGGAAATGTTTGAACCCGTCTCTCTTTCCATTGATACCACTGTCAAAAAGACAGTTCAGCTTCAAATCACCTACTTAATCCAAAGCTCAATACAACCTAAATTTGTTCTAAGAAGTAAATGAAGCCATGCTAACACCTAAGTTAGTTATCATGTGATGCTATTTCATGATGAGGGAAACAGACAAGTGCACCTTCTGTGAGCTTGTTACAAGGTGGAGACCAACCACGTTTCCCAGCCTTCATCCCCAGCACTTTCCCTCTCACACCCAGCTCCCTTCAACGTCGGTAAGCCATGGGCATTCCAGAGACCCTAACGGGAGTAATCAGCCTAGAACGGATCCAGTTAGCAAGCAATCACGAGAGGGACGTGATTAATTAAATTTCACTCACTGCATGTGTAATGTGGAAACCTGTAATAGGTTCTCGAAGAAGGGCCTTGTATCCGTCGGTGCTTTACCTCCCGGCTAGGCTAACGAGCTGTGCAAGGCAAGGCCAACAGACTTAAATCCGAGGCAAGGGGTTGGCTTTCAGAGTCCAGTTCGCTTGGTACCCAACCCAGCTTCCCGAATTTGAGACGGAAAGGGCCACGCGACGTGAGCTTCCAAAGCCAACCAGGGAAGCCCAGGAGGCGCGGCGTTCCGTTACCCTGCCCATCTCCACGCTTTTCGTGGGGCGGACACAAACTCTGGTTTCTATTCAGCGTTTACCTCTTTAAGCCCAAACGGACCCTGATCCCAGTCGGCACCTCCATCCTTCCCACCTAAACCTTGTGCCCAGCCCAGCCTTTCACCATGCCAACGACCCACCCCGAGCACTCCAGCCGGCCCAATTTCTACTTCCAGAGACAATTACTCTCTCTCCCTTACCGGCCCGAAGTACAGCCCTTCTTCGTGTAGAATCGGTCCGAACTCCTGTTCCAGCTTGAGCTCCACACCATCTACCCGTAACGTTCAACCCACGTTCCCCTCGGACGACTCCACCCCCACCGCCGTCTCCGCTAGGAAAACAACTTCCGCTTGGGCGTCCGCAGCCCAAGAGCCTCCCCCCGTATCACCTTCCTGAAGAGCGCGCCGCTTGAAAGCACGCGGGTAGGGCAGGGGAAGGAGAAGACGAGAACACTTCCGGCAAGGCTCCGCAGAGGCGTGGTTTGTCTTCCCTTCAGGCGCAGGCGCAGTCGGAACTGCGGCGCCAGGAGGGGCGGGACCCATAGCTGCAGAGCCCGCTAAGTGTGACTGAGGGGAGAGGAGGAGGGGACGGTTCTGGAAGCTGCTGGAAAGCGCCCGAGTGACGGAGGTGACGCCAGCGGCCAGGGGGCGGAGCGTGATTAAAATTAGTGCGCGGCCCTGAGCGGAGGGATTACGCGGCTGAGGAAGGAGTGGTCGCCCGGCGGCGGCGTGCGCGCAGGCCCAGTGACCTGCGTGTGGTCCCCACTGGCCAGCCATCATGGCGGCCGCTTCCCATAGTTCGTTCTCCCGGCCGCGGCGCCACCGTACGTGTTCACAAAGGGTCACCACACACGGAGCTGCCCCTCCCTTCCCTAAACCCCTCCTCGGAGGCCAGGGGCTTTTCCTTGCTTCCCTCTCAGATCTGCTCACGGTAAGGGGAGTAGCGAAAGACAAGCACAGGGCCGTACGTGGTTAGCCTTGACCCGGGGTGGCACCGAGCAGCCGACCTGCGCATCTCAGCGGCCCTGCCTCCTCTAACTTGAGAGGAGGGGAGTTCTCGAGTTGCTAAGTTTTTAGAACTGCCTTCGCAGGAAGGTCATGTGGTGTGAGGGACGTCCGCACTGAATGCGTTCTTGAGGACATCCTATTCCTTGGAGTCCTTTGGGTCGATCGTTTCCGTGGCCTGGGACAACGATTTGGATTTTCGGACCCTTTCTTACAGGAATCATGACTGGCATTTTGGACTGCGGTTCTGTGGGGTTTCCTAAGTGGCCTTAAAGGACTGTGTTCTGGCAGAATGCTGATAGCGTGCTATTGGGGGGGGGGGGACAAGTACGCTGGAGAAAGAAATTATTCAATAAAAGAATTTCAGTTTGTGGTACTTAGGAATGCAAATCGCTGATCCGTCCAACAGAGACTGTTAGGGTTTTTTTTCTCCCTCAAGACAAAAATAAACTGGTTAGGTTTTGCTTTTTTTTTTTTTTTTTTTTTGCGTTTGCATTTGCACTACATAATGTACTGGTGTATTTGTTGTAAGATTGAACTAGTTAAGATTTCTTTTTATATGGATTATGAAATTTTGAGAAAGTATTTTTAACTGAAATAGTAGCCAAGATTAACAGGATTATTTCTTGTTCAACATGTTATTTCCATTTTTAGAATGGAGTAGACTTACTCACCCTCCATAAACACTTGCTGAATGTCAACTCATGAATTGAACAATGTAATAATTGGTTCAGTTAAAATGTAACCCAGCTTTTGAGATGTAAAGCAACATCCCCAAACGATTATAATCATAATTAAAATAAAAATTGATTATTGTAGCCTTTAATGAAAATTCTATTTAAGAGTATTTTTTGTTGTTGTTCAGAAAAAAAAATTGACAGTAACAACAAAATGGAGGTGGGAAGTGGAGAAAAGAAACTGCCCTATTTATGCCAGAGGCTAGTAGACCCTACTGGTGTATTCAAAATGCCCATTTTTAGGTATACTGGTCCCAAAGAGAGCATAGTTGCCTCCAGTAGGTTAAAATTTATCTCTTTCCACTTAGAACTCGAATTCAGTAAGGAAGCTTTTATGCCCTTTAAATAATTTTGTGAGCTCTTATACTCTTATATGTTGTATTCCTTAATTGAAAACAAACCCTTAGCCCCATATAAATGAGCTAGATATGGTGGAACATCTCTGTAATCCCTGGAATGCACTCAGAGGTGAAGGCAGAAGGACCTTGGGTTGGAGGCTTATAACAAGCGAGTCCGTAACAGATTTGAGACCTTGTCAAAGCCAAAATCTTACCTGTTAGGATTGTTTATTCTGGTCTCATTAAAAAATTAGTGAGTAGGTTACTTCCTTGCAATAATTAGGGCCTGAATTGGATCCCCAGCACTTACATAAAAAGCCTGACCCAGGTGTGTGGACCTATTGTCCCAGACTGGGAAGGGGGCAGACATGTGGATCCCAGGGCCTCCTTGGCCATTCAGACTAGCTGAGTCTGTGAGCCCCGGATTCAGTTAGAGACCCTTTCTCAAAAACTAAGGCGGGGGTTGGGTGATGGGGGCTGGAGCCCACCCTTTAATACCAGCACTTGGGAAGCAGAGGCAGGCAGATCTCTGTGATTTCAAGGCCAGCCTGATCTACAAAGCTACACAGGGAAACCCTATCTTGGAAATAAATAAATAAATAAATAGGTCAGAGAGAAAGGGAGATACCTAGCAGTGACATCTGTCCACTTGTTCACTTATGACAGACACATGCTTCAGCAATCACCCAGGCAAAGGAATTTTCCAGAAGTGCCCAATGAAAACAGTCTGTAATCCCTTTTCTAAATCTTATTTTCAGAAAGCTAGGAAAACCAAAAGTTGTTTGGCAGTTTTAAAAAAAAAAAAAGATGCATACCCAATGGAGTGTATAGGCTTTATCCTATGTTGTATTATGTTAATCACAACATTAGTAAGTTTGATTGCTGTGTGTTGCTCTTGGTCACTGGCATGTGATGTTTTCTATAATGGTTTGTGTATTTGTAATGGTTTTTTTTTTTTTTTTTTTTTTTTTTTTTTTTTATTGTTGGAAACTAAACTATGAACCCAGGGCCTCAGATGGTGCTGGGCAAGTACTTTACCTCTCAGCAGTATTCCAAGACTACTGCTACTTCTCCATTCATTCTTTTTTTCTTTTTTTTTTCTTTTTTTTTTTTTTGAGATAGGGTTTCACAAAGTTGCCCTGGCTAGCCTTGAACTCATTCTAGTTCAAGCAGACCTTGAACCTGTGATGCTCATGCCTCAAGTCTCCTAAGTCACTGAGATAGTCCTCCTGTACTACCAGGACCCACTGTAACTTTTTAAATTCCCAACTCTTAGATTTTAGTTAAAGAATTATGAGCCCGTATTTATATTTGACATGTCTTCTTATGCAAGGCATTTGTTTAAAAAATTAATTGGAGCTAGGCGATGGTGGCGCACGCCTTTGATCCCAGCACTTGGGAAGCAAAGGCAGGCAGAGCTCTGTGAGTTTGAGGCTAACCTGGTCTACAGAGTGAGTTCCAGGATGGCCAGGACTATGCAATGAAACCCAGTCTCAAAAAAAAAAAATTAAATTAAATAAAGCAAAAAATTAATTTGAGTCTATTTATTCTCAGTTCAGAAGAGTTAAATGGGAACATGCTACTCTCGTACAATTTCTGGGATATGCAAAGCTTTTTGTCAGTGTAGCCATATATTGATCCAAACATTACATTAGTTGTCCCAAGGTGTTTTGTACTTTAAAAACTTTTTGGTAGGGATGGAGAGATGGCTCAGAGGTTAAGAGCTCTGACTGCTCTTCCAGGGGTCCTGAGTTCAGTTCCCAGCAACCACATGGTAGCTCACAACCGTCTACAATTCAATATGGTGCCCTCTTCTGGCACATAGGCAGAACACTGTATATGTGATAAATAAATAAATCTTTAAAAAAAAAAAACTTTTAGGTAGACCTTGATATCTCATAATGTGCCCACATGTACCTGTTTCTCTTTTCCCCAAATGAGCAAATAAAATAATGGAGTCACAGAGTAGATACTGGGTATCTTATGTGTTAATTCCATCTCCTTCACTGTGTACTTTATGCAAGTTGATTTTGGTGCCCTGAATTTACACATCTATGCAATGAAAAGTTTGGAGCACATAAATAGCTTGAGGAAACTACCTTACAGTTCTAACGTTACCTGCAGATATGTACTCTTGGGACTACCACCTACTTTGTAAAATGTTTTCCACTAAGGAGATCCAGCTGGTCTCACACTGCTGCCTTGTTGGTCAAAGTTTATTGTTTAAATTGAGTAGTAGACTTCACACAATAAAAATCTTCAGGCTACATCTGTGTGTCAGTCACCCAGTTCCCTGTCTAAGATCAGTAAAAGCTGAGGGGGCAGATGTATACATATATAAGCAAGTAAGTACTATTAGGATATGTTTCACCCCCCAACATAAGTGTTGCATAATATGCTGCTGTTTACCTTGTATTTTCATTTGTCTTAGACGTAGTTTTCTATTGTGCCAGTCCTCTTCCATTCTGGGATAAGTTTCTTTCAGATCCTGTTTTGGTTGCTTTTCTTGTCAATGTAATAAAACACCCTGATAATAGCAACTTGAGGAAGAAAGGGTTTACTTTGGCTCACAGTTTAGGGTTAGTGCATCTAGTGGGGAAGCTGCTGCAGCAGGAACTTGAAGCTGTAGGTCACATTGGGTGTGCAGTCAAGGAGTAAAGAGCTATTTTAAATCCCATTAAGTTGATGGGATTGAATAGGGTCATCAAGGCGGCTCATCGAATAAAGAGACTTGCCACTAAACCTGATGTCCTGAGTTCAGTCCATGGGACACACATAGTGGAAAGAGACAAGGACAAGGGTCTCTCAAAAGTTGTCCTCTGACCTCCACAGTGTGCTGTAGCATGTGTACTCTCTCTCTCTCTCTCTCTCTCTCTTTCTCTCTCTCTCCCCCTCCCTCCCTCTCTCCCTCTCACTCTCTCACTCTCTCAATAAATTAAAATAGGATAAAAATTTTAAAGCATTGTAATTTTAACATATTCATCATCTCCCATATCCATGAATCTATCTGTGCCCTAAATAGTAGCACGGCTGACTTCTGTCTGCTTTGGTGTATGTATCCCTGTGCCAGGGTCATGGAGTTGGATAGTGGTGCTAACATCCTACCCGGTTCTAAAGTAAACAAAATAGATTAATCACATCACCCGAGTGACTTCTTCATTCGAAACCAGAGGAAGAAAGGGGGTGGACTGTGGTCAGGGGCCTTGACCCAAACAGACAAATTTAACATACTTTTAAACATTGCAGTCCTGCAGTGCAGCAAGATTGACGGTAAGGCAGTTAGTAGTGGATGGCCAGGAGTTGGTGGCAGACCACCTTTCAAGCCCATGCTCATCAAATGCTGCTTAAACTTAATTTTTCTTCTAACAGTTTTGCTCCATACATGTGGTTGGATTTAAAATGCATCTTCTTTGTATTGCCATTTTATTAAAGGTTTTTTTTTCTATGTTTTAATTGTGTGTGTGTGGGGGGAATGCCTGAGAGTGCAGAGCCTGAGGATTTGAAGGTTTTGGACTCCCAAGAGCTGGAGTTACAGGAGGTTGTAAGCCGGCTCCTCATGTGGGTGCTAGGAACTGAACCGTGGTCTTCTGCCAGAGCAGTATGTTCTCTTAGCCGTTGAGCTACCTCTCCTGAGTAGTCCTGCTTAATGACAGAAAACTAAGTCCAGAAGGAAACCGTTGACCTGAGTTGTGCATTGGACCGGTCAGACCCAAGACTAGAGCTGGCGTCTTCCTGTCTCCATCCAGGGCTTTTTTTTTTTTTTTTTTTTTTTTTTTTTTTTTTTTTTTTTTCATTCTGTTGTCCACCCCAGTAGCTGAACTGAGCATGTCGCTCTGGTCGCAGGAGGACTG